GACGAATGGGATTATGCGGGGGCGGACTCAAGGCGCAGCGGAACGCGCGGCACCTTCTACATGCGCGTTCTAAGCGTTGCACGCATTGTTGGCGGAGGAGCCTCAACAGCGGAGGCGACGACGCAGGAGCATTGGGACGCGGGGGCGCATAAGACTCAAGCGGCTACCAAGGGGGAGAGGACACCGACGCAGGAGCAGCGGGACGTGGAGGTGGAGGTGAATGGAGCGTCTTTCATCTTGCCCAACGAGGATACCACGCGGGAGCATGACACCACACAGGCTCCGACTGCGTCTCCGACCTGCAGCCTCCGGATGGCGTTGATGACAAACGCGATTGTCGACCACGTGGGCGGCTGCGTGCGACTCTGTATCTTGCGACACTTGTGGTGGCAATGAATAGTACTGGGGTTGCGGCTAGGCTTGTGCGAGCGGCCAATATTGGGTGACAACGTCATGCGAATGTTGCTGCCAACTGATACCGAAGGCCGTATACGGCGTCGACGATATTACGTCCTGCGACGCTTTGTTTGGCGGCAGAGACACGCGCCGCGGCTTCGAGTTTTGATGGCAATTGTGAGCCTTGCGATGCTGCTCCGAGGATGATCCTCTTCCCCTTTCCTTTTCCCTCCGCTGCGTTCTCCGCTCGCCTCTCCTTCGTCGCTCTGTTGCGTGCGAGGTATTCTGCATAGTGTTCTTTGCGCGCCAATCTGGCCTCTCCCCGGCCACAGGCTGCCGACCCCGGGCCCCCGGGCCACGGGCTTGGCTCTTTGCCGCCGTTGGAGTTTCGGCCAATCCGGAGCGCTGGGGCGCTTCCGGTCCAAAACTTGTCGAATTTCCAGCGTTTGTCTGTACAGGCCGCTGCCTTTTCAGTCGCGCTTCCTGCCTGCAGCCATTCTTGAATTTGCACATGCAGCCTGCTGGCTGTGATTGTGCCTCCCCTTTTCCGCTCGCCTGCCCCCTCTCCTTCCTCTCTCCTTCTGTTGTCTTTTTGCTCGCGTGCGATATTGGCGCGCGCGCGTCGCCGTTGGCCCCCGCGCCCGCGAGCTTTCGCCCGTTCTTAAGTTTCGGGGCGCCGGATCAGTGTGATGCAGGGTGTCTCGCCCGCTCTTCTCTGCCTTTGCCGTCCGCAGTCTTCCCCGGCCCCCCCCCCCCCGGTGGCGCGGCGCGCTCTCGGCAACAATTCGCGCGATTTTCCTGGCCGGCCCGGCGGTCCGCAGTCTCACGTCGCGGAGCCTTGTTGCGCGGCGGTTGCAGCAATAATTAGCCTGACGAGGGACCCGACCATATGCAGGCGTGAGCACCGCAATAGTGATTCACTTTTTCGGCGGCGATCCCTACGAGGCAACGAACCGTGCTAGGGGCGTGCCGATATGAATGGCGTGGTACACAACGCGAGCGGAACCGATCGATCTGAATACGTAGGGAGAGTGAGCGCGGGTCAATCTGAGTGCGAGCGCGTCTGACTGTGAATGGATCTGCGTGTGAGCGAGTCTACGCGCATGAATGCGAGCATGACAAGGCATGCTGCAATCGTATGTGAATGTCAATACTTTGACAATGACTGCCTCTGAATACTCGCGACGCTGGGCGTGGCCGCCGCAAGGAGCTTCCCCGGGACTCCCCGACGGCATCGCCCGCGCGCCGCGACGCCATTGTCGGCGCGCCCCCCCGCGAGGATCGCGCCCGCTTCCTCCCTTTATTTTACTCCATCTTTGCCCGCGCACTCAAATCCCCAAGGCCGCGGGCGCAGCGCAGCGCGGAGCCCCCGCGACGCGCGCAGGTCGCCCCGGAGGGGTCCCAGCGACGCGCGCGAGTCGTCCGTTGCGCGGAGCAAAGAGAGGTAGCTGGCTTTGCCGCTGGGCAAAGCGACGACAGGCGAGCGAGGCGCTGGGCAGAACGCAGCACGGAGCCCCCGCGACGCGCGCTGGTCGCCCCGGAGGGGTCCCAGCGACGCGCGCGGGTCGTCCGCTGCGCGGAGCAAAGAGAGCTGGCTGGCTGGGACCTTCGGTGGGGCTCCATATGGGGCCATGTGGTACTGGGTGAGGGAGACGCATGCGGACTGCGCCACGGGGACCTTCGGTGGAGTTCCCATATGGGGCCACGAAGCGTGTGAGAGGTGTGCCGAAATGAGTGGCAGGGACGCACGCGGACTGTGCCACGGAGAGCTTCGGCGGAACTCTTATGGGGCCAGGAAGCGTGTGAGGGGGTGTGCCGAAATGGGCGCGCGGGACGCGTGCGGACTGCGCCACGGAGACCTTCGGTGGAGTTCCTATGGGGCCACGAAACGTGTGAGGGGTGTGCCGACATGGATGGCCGGAACGCATGCGGACTGTGCCACTGGGACCTTCGGCGGAGCTCCTATGGGGCCACGAAGCGCGCGAGGGGGGTGCCGAAATGATTGGCGGGGACGCATGCGGACTGTTCCATTGGGACCTTCGGTGGAGTTCCCATATGGGGCCACGAAGCGTGTGAGAGGTGTGCCGAAATGAGTGGCGGGGGCGCATGTGGACTGTGCAGCGGGGACCTTTGGCGGAGCTCCTGTGGGGCCACGAAACGTGTGAGGTGTGTGCCGAAATGAGTGGCGGAGACGCATGCGGACTGCGCCACTGGGACCTTCGGCGGAGCTCCTATGGGGCCACGAAACATGTGAGGGGCGTGCCGAAATGAATGGCGGGGACGCATGCGGACTGTGCCACGGAGACCTTCGGTGGAGCTCCTGTGGGGCCACGAAACGTGTGAGGGATGTGCCGAAATGGGCGTGCGGGGACGCATGCGGACTGTCCCACATGGGCCTTCGGCGCAGCCCCTTATGGGGCCACGAAACGTGTGAGGGGTGTGCCGAAATTGGTGTGCGGGGGCGCATGCGGGCTGTCCCGCAGGGACCTTCGGCAGAGCTCCTATGGGGCCACGAAGCGTGTGAGGGGTGTGCCGAAATGGGTGTGCGGGACGCATGCGGGCACGCCCACTGGAACCTTCGGTTGAGCTCCGTATGGGGCCACGAAACGTGCGAGGGGTGTGCAGACATGGGTGTGCGGGACGCATGCGGGCACACCCACTGGGACCTTCGGTGGAGCTCCCTATGCGGCCACGAAGCGTGCGAGGGGTGTGCCGAAATGGGTGTGCGGGACGCATGCGGGCACACCCACTGGGACCTTCGGTGGAGCTCCCTATGGGGCCGCCGCGAAACGTGTGAGGGTGTGCCGAAATGGGTGTGCGGGACGCATGCATGCACACCCACTGGGACCTTCGGTGGAGCTTCCTGTGGGGCCACGAAACGTGCGAGGGGTGTGCCGACATCGGTGGAGCTCCCTATGGGGCACCGAAACGTGTGAGGGGTGTGCCACAATGGGTGTGCGGGACGCCTGCGGGCAAACCCACTGGGACCTTCGGTGGAGCCCCCATATGGGGCCACGAAGCGTGTGAGGGGTGTGCCGACATGGGTGTGCGGGACGCATGCGGGCACACCCGCTGGGACCTTCGGTGGAGCTCCTTATGGGGCCACGAAGCGTGCGCAGGGTGTGCCGAAATGGGCGTGCGGGACGCATGCGGGCACGCCCGCTGGGACCTCCGGTGGAGCTCCCTATGGGGCCGCGAAGCGTGCGAGGGGTGTGCCGAAATGGGTGTGCGGGGCGCATGCGGGCACGCCCACTGGAACCTTCGGTGGAGCTCCCTATGGGGCCGCGAAACGTGCGAGGGGTGTGCCGAAATGGGCGTGCGGGACGCATGCGGGCACACCCACCGGGACCTTCGGTGGAGCTCCCTATGGGGCCACGAAGCGTGTGAGGGGTGTGCCGAAATGGGGTGTGCGGGACGCCTGCGGGCAAACCCGCTGGGACCTTCGGTGGGGCTCCCTTATGGGGCCACGAAGCGTGTGAGGGGTGTGCCGAAATGGGTGTGCGCGACGCATGCGGGCGCACCCGCTGGGACCTTCGGCGGCGCTCCCAATGGGGCAACGAAGCGTGTGAAGGGGCGTGCCGAAGTGGGTGTGCGGGGCGCATGCAGGCACGCCCACTGGGGCCATCGGTGGAGCTTCCTATGGGGCCACGAAGCGTGTGAGGGGTGTGCCGAAATGAATATGCGGGACGCATGCGGGCACACCCACTGGGACCTTCGGCGGAGCTCCCTATGGGGCCACGAAACGTGCGAGGGGTGTGCCGAAATGGGTGTGCGGGACGCATGCGGGCACATCCATTGGGACCTTCGGCGGGGCTGTTTATGGGGCCACGAAACGTGCGAGGGGTGTGCCGAAATGGGTGATGACGACGATGATGATGACGATGATGACGGCGGGAGGAGGGAGGAGGAAGGAGAGGGAGGAGGAGGAGAGGAGGAGAGGAGACGCGGGCCACCGTCTCTTCAAAACGAGGACCCAACGCCGCAGGATGGTTGGGGGAGGAAAAAAAAAACAGCGAATCGCGCCTGCATGACCTCATGGAAGGGAGTGCCATCGGCGATGGGCGGTGGAGATGTCGAGCGGGCGTCGTCCCAGGCGGATTGGACTCGGCGGAATCGCGCGAGAAGGGTGCCGGGCAATTCCCGGGCGCGACGCGACGTGTGCACGAGGCGCTTGGCTCGCTCAGGGAGCTGGGAGACCACGCTCGGAGGGAGAGCCGCGAGGGGCTACGGTAGGAGGACAGGTGGCAACAAGGGCCGGGCGGCCCTCGTTGCTGATGCCCGCGGGGTCGGCGGCCGCTCGGAGGGAGGGGCGCGATGGACTGAGGCATGGGCTGCGGCATAGTGTCTGGATGCCGTTGTGTCCTGGTGGACGCCGTGGCACGGCTCGGCTCCGACGCGCCGGGTGCCGCCGAGGTGTCTGCGTGCGTCGTGCTGGCCGCCTCGGCACCGAGCCGACGTTTCCTGGCGCGGGCGAGTGCGCGTTCTCGCTCCTGTCGACTGAGCCGCAAAGCTGATTCTCTAGTCGGTGGACCCTCGGGCGGAGAGTTCTGTTGCCGTTTGGGCTCAAGGACTGGCTTAAGGACTGGCTCGATGACTCGAGGAGGCGCGAGGAGGCTTCCAGGGAGTCGGCCGGGCGCACGATTAGGACGCTCCGCGTCGATTTCCGACGGCCGCCGAGGACGCGCAGACCCAGAATAAGTCCAGGACAGAGAGCCGAGTGGACAAGTTCAAGAGTGCGAGCTCTACCCACGATGAGCTTTTGGTCACGTTCGAGACGATGGTGATTATGTATTAGTCGTTCACTTCGGTTGGCACCGCGTGCAAGGTCACGCTCAAGAGTAAGAAGGCGGTGTGGGACACCATCAGCGGGTACAAAGAGGGCGCCGAGATCCAATTCGAGGCGAAGGAGCTCGTCATGAAGGTCGACATGACAAAGGAGAAGTGGAAGGAGGCTGAGGAAATTGGCCCCATGTCGGATGCTCTCCGGGAGGCGGCGCGCCAGGGGAATTTCAAGCTGAAGTTGTCCGAGAAGCAGTTGTTGCGCGCGGCTGCGGGCCAGACGCGGGGGGGCATCTGCGCGGTCGACACTGCCGGGGACGCGATCAAGTGGGAGGCGCTGTCCGACAACGTCCTCTCCGGCGAGGGGAAGACCGAGGTGGGGCCCAAGCTTGGGGGGGGGGGAGTTGCGAGCCCGCGGCGAGGTGCACGTTTCGCAGGTCCACGAAGGCGGGTCAACGATGATGTCTTGGAATGCGTCGGGGATTTCGTGGGCACATTTGGGAGAATTCATTTGCAAGCTTGACCTTTGGCATGTTCGCCGGGACGTGCGTGCTACTTTTCCATGAGGGGTTGCCGGGGGGGGGGGCGGCCGGGGACTTCGGCGACGGTTGCCCGCAGTGCGTCATCGGCATTCGGCGATGTTTGCCCCATGGAAGGACGGCGTGCACGGCGCGCGCGTCGCGGTGGATTCCAGGCATGGCGGTCATGTAGACGCACCAATGGTACACAGTGATTTCTCGATTACCATGCATTTGCATTGGCAGCGGAAGAGGTTCTTATTTGAAGCGGCGCGTTCCACCGCTGCTGGCGGAAAACCGGGGGGGTTCACTGGGGGGCCCTAACCCGCGCCCGCCCCCCCCTTCGAAAACGGGGGGGGCCGCTGTCGGTTCGAACCCCCCCCAGTCCATCATGAGAAAGAGGGGGGGTCGCTGGCAGTTCGAACCCCCCCGTCGAAATCCAGAAAAAAAGAACTGCCGGCTCGAACCCCCCCCCTCTCGAAAACCTGGGGGGGGGGGGGGGGCGCCTGCCGGTTCAACCCCCCCCCGCCGCCGGCGAACGATGCCCGCTCCTTGGGACACTTGGACAATGGCGCGGACGCTGGGACAGCGGTGGGAACGGTGGTGGCAGAGACAGCCGGGGCGGGGACAGCGGGACAGCAGCGCGGACAGCGGTGGGGGCGGTGGGGGCGGGGACAGCGGTGAGGGGACAGCGGGGCATTGGCGGGGGCAGCGGGGCAGCGGTGGAGACGGTAGCGGTGGGGACAATGGTTAAGGCGGTGGTGAGGACAGTGGTGGGACAGTACCACAGCAGGGAAAGTGGTGGGGACAGTGGGGACGGTGGGACAGTGATGGGGACAGTGGGGGCGGCGGGACAGCACAGTGGGACAGCGGCGGGGACAGTGGGGCAGTGGTGGGTACAGTAGGGACAGTGGGACAGTTGCGGGGGCCCTGGGGAACGCGGGGAGAGTGGGACCGCGGTGGGACAATGGCGGGGAGAGCGGGGACAGCGAGACACTGGCGGGGGCACTGGTGGGGACAGCGGGGACAATGGTGGGAACAGTGGGGGCAGTGGGACACTGGTGGGGACGGCGGCGGTGGGGGCAGCGGTGTGGGGACAGTGGGAATGTGGTGGAAGCAGCGGGGCAGTGGAGGGCGCAACGGTGTCGGCGATAGTGGCGAGGGCGGTGGCGTGGACGGCGGCGGGATCATGGGACAGAGGCGCAGCAGGGACAGTGGCGGGGACAGCGGCGGGAACAGTGGGACAGCTCAGCGGGACAGCGGCGGGGGCAGTGGGGGCAGTGGGACAGTGGTTGGGGCCGTGGAGACAGTGGGGAGGTTGGAACCGCGGTGGGAACAGTGGTGGGGGCAGCAGGCAATGCAATAGCGGTGGGGGCACTGGTGAGGACAGTGGTGACGGGGGCGAGAACAGCGGGGGCAGTGGCGGTGAGGACAATGGTGCTGGGGGCAGCAGTGGGGGATGTGGCGCGGGCGGTGGCAGGGGCCCAGAGTTGCTTGCTGGCGGTGCGCATGGGGGGGGGGGGGTTCGAACCGGTAGCGGCCCCCCCACCCCGGTTTTCGAATGGGACGGGGGGGGGGTCGAACTTGTTTGCCCCCCCGGTTTTCAGAGGGGGGGGGCGGGGGGGGGGGGCTCGAACCGGACATGGCCCTTTCCCGTTTTCGACGGGGGGGGGGGGTCGAAACCCGCGGCGACCCCCCGCCTCCGGTTTTCCGGAGGGGGGGTCGAAGCGGCAGTGACCTCCTCTCCTTGTTTTCTGGTGAAAGGGTTCGAACCGGCAGCGACCTCCTTCGGTTTTCCGGAGGAGGGGGGGGGGGGGATTTGAACCGGCAGTGACCCCAGAGGGGTTTTGCCGGGAGAAGGGGAGGGGGGGGGGGGGATGGGGGGGGGCCAGCGGAAGAGGAGGGGTTTTCGGAAGGGGGGGGGGGCGGGTTTCGAGGAGGGGGGGATTTTCCACGGTAAAGCGGCAGTGGATCACGCTCTCTCTCTCGCTCTCTCTCTCTCTCTCTCTCTCTCTCTCTCTCTCTCTCTCGCTCTCGCTCTCGTCTCTCTCTCTCTCTCTCTCTCTTTTTCTCTCTCTCTCTCTCTCTCTCTCTCTCTCTCTCTCTCTCTCTCTCTCTCTCTCTTATTGGCATCGGTTCATTTTCGGCAGCGTGCCCGCGGCGTGACATCGTATCAGGGCCAGCCGGAGAACTCGGAGAAGGCGCTTCGCAGCCATCTACTCCCCGGCGGTGTGCTTTTCTCGGGCACCGACGCGAACGGCAGCGCGGGGGCGAGAGTCGCCCCACGTCCGCGCCGGCGCGGCCTCCTCCAGCAGCTCCGCGGCCGCTGGCAGCGACCCCTGCCCCACCTCGGCCTGCTCGTTGGAACTAGAGGGCACCTCCTCCGGCGACGCCGGCGACGCGCGCTCGAGATCGCCGCCTGCAGCGCGGCTGCTTGGTCGGGCGACTGCGCGGCCAGCATCGCGGGGCGGCCGCGCCCGAGGCTGCCCTTAGGGTGCCAGCCCGGGGGTAGCCACGCGGGCGGGGCGGGGCCTGGACGACCGACGGGGGGCGCCCGAGCGGCTCCGGCAGGTCCGCGAATGGCGCTCAGCTCGCCCCCGAGGGTTTCAAAAGTACCCATATTGGCTTAACCTTGCGTCGCTGGGCGCGCCTCCTCGGATCGCGCTCGCCGCTCGGTCGGCCGCGCCTGGGGCGCTGGCGCAGGGGCGTCGGCGCGCGGAGGAGGCGGCGCGCGGCGCCCTCCTCGCCACCCACGCCGCCTGGCTTGGCAGGAGGCCATTCCCTCGCGGGGGTGCGCTTCCTGCGCGCGGCCGAGGGCCTCCTGCGCGCCGCGGTGGCTGCCCTGCGCAGCCGCCCCGCAGTGCCTGCCCAACCTACTCCTGGCGCCGGCGCCCCTCCGAAGCGGCGGCGCCGCGGGCGCGGCGGCGGCGGCGCTGCCGGCGCGGAGGAGTTGCGAGGGCGATGCGGGGGCGGAGGGGTCAGATGGGGGCGCTGGCGCGGCGGCCGGCGCTGGCGGGGGCGGCCCCGGCGCTGGCGGCGCCGCAGGGGCGGGCGCGGCCGCGCCCGCGCCCGGCAGCGACGGCCTCGATCATGGGCAACTCCTTCGCGGACGGCCCGCTGCGGTCTGCGGCGGCGGAGGGGCCAGCTGTGTCTGGCGACGCTGCCACGCCGAGGTCTGCGGCGGCGGAGGGGCCAGCTGCGTCTGGCGACGCTGCCGCGCCGAGGCCTGCGGCGGCGCCTGCGCCGCCTGCGGCGGCGGCGGCGACGGCGGAGCCAGCCGCGGCTCGCGGGGCCTCGCCCTCCCCCTCGGCGGCGGCGGAGCCGGCGGCCATTATTCAGGAGGGAAAGAAACACACAGACACAATTAATCGTCGACCCCCAGAAAATATGCGAAAATATGGGAAGTGGGGGGAAGACAAAAACCCAGCAAATATACGAGAATATGGGGAATATTTTTATTTGTGTGTATTTATTTGTGTGTTTGTGGGCCCCTTCAATTATTTAATCGCTTCGCTCATTCCGCCGGCCCATATTGTCGCACAGTTGTGGGCTAGCCGAGTTTTGGGGCCTCTTGGGGGCCGTTTTGGGGCCTCTTGGGGCCTCTTTTGGGCCTCTTGGGCGCCTCTTGGGGCGTCTTGGGGGCCTCTTGGGGGCCTCTTGGGGCCTTTTTGGGGCCTCCTGGGCGCCTTCTGGGGCGGAGGGCTCGATTTTTCAGTTCTCGGTTCCCCTCTTGAGCCCCTCTTGGGCCCGTCTTGGGGCCTCTTGGTCCGTCTTGGGCGGCACTTGGGCCGTCTTGGGGGCCCTCCTGGGCCGTTCCGGGGCCGTCTTGGGAGCCTCATGGGCCGTCTTGGAGCGGTCTTGGGGGCCTCTTGGGCCGTCTTGGAGCGTCCGGAAGCCGAAAAAGCCAGAACGCAAAAAACAGCGAAAAAAACAATGAAAATCAACGATTTTGGCCTCTTGGGGCCCTCTTCGGAGGCCTCTTGGAAGGCCCTTGGGGCGTCTTGGAGGCCTCTTGGGCTGTCTTGGGGCCCTGTTGGGCGTCTTCGGGCGATCTTTGGCCGTCTCGGGGCCCTCTTGGACCGTCTTGGAGGCTTCTTGGGGGCCTCTTGGCCCGTCCTGGGGCCCTGTAACAGGGCTCCGGCATCTCTGGCCCGACCTTGCGGGGACCTTGCCGGGGACCTTGCCGGGGACCTTGCCGGGGACCGCCGGGGACCGGCCGGGACCTGGTCGGGGTACTTTTCGTCTGGGGACCCCCAGGGGCCGCCCCGCGCGCGCGAAGTAGAAACATTGTAGAGCAGTTACCGGAGATCTTAGCACGCCTCTGGCCCGTTGGGCCGGCGAATTGCGGAAGCCGATGCCGAGGGGGCGCGCGGGGTCGAGGCCAGGGGCGACGCGGTCGGGGCCGTCGGCGAGGCGCGCGCCCGTCTCCTGCGGCGCGTCGCCGACCTCCAGGGGGGCCTGGGCCAGCGCGTCGGGCGACGCGGAGCTCCTCGCCCCTGACGTTGTCCCTAGGGGCTGCTTTGGCGGGGCGCCCGTCCTAGCTCCTCGGCGGCCCCCATCTTGGCTTGCGGCGCCCTGCCCGACGGGCGGGTCGTCGTCTGGTGCGCCTGCGCCTGGCTCGGGGGCCTCGGCCAGCTCCTCGGCTGGCGCCTCGGCCTGCTCCCGCATGGGCGCCGCGATCGGGGCCCAGATGTCAGTCTATGAGCTGCTGCGCCGCTTCTGCGTCGCTGCGACGGCGCCCCGCCGGGCCCCGCCTCGGGCTTCCCCAGGGGCGCGCAGCTGCAGCCGCGAGAGCAGTTCGCCCCGCGGGCGCGCCCGAAGGTCGGGCCGCAAACCCGCTGGGTCGGCGCCCGCGGCC